GGAGGCCGGTGTGAGACACAGGGCCCAGTGTCCTGTCTTCAAACCCTGACTGCCACAGCCTGACCACATGGCTGCTCCACCCAGTGCCTCAGTCTCCCCTCCTCGTGGGACGCCGCCAGCTACCGAGCTGCGTCAGGGTGAGGCTGTGCTGAGATCTCGCGTGTCAAGCACTGAGGGCGGGGCCTGGGCTCGATGCACAACAAATGGCCGTTGTCTCATTTGTCCCCACAACCTCCGTGGGGGGCTCATCCCCACTCAGGTGGGCAGACGGAGGCCCATGCAGTTGAACATTTAAATCCAGCACGTGACTCACACTGGCATTACTAAACGTATTGCTAACGTACCGTGGGCTCAACCGAGAAAGTCATCACAAAACGTTTAGAAAAGGAAAAAAATCACAGGCTTTGGAACCAGATGGTTCACCTCTGAGCTTCCTGCCTTCCTGACTGAGGAGCAAGAGGCTTCACGTCCCTTTCCTCCCTCAATCTGTCAAACAGGATAAAGGACCATGGCGTTCAGGCGACAAGGCCTGGAGGAAATACCCACAAGTCACGCTGTGCAGCAGGCCCGACAGGTGGGGGCGCCAGCCCTTTGCTGTGGTCCTCGCTCCTCCTCAGTGGAGAGTGAGGTAAGTGCCACCACCCCCTGTGGCGATGTGTATCTGAGGCCCTAAGAGGTGATGTGACTTGCCCAAGTCACACAGTGGAGCTCCACACCTTGGAAGTCCCAGTCCTGGAGAATGGACCCGAGAGAGACCCCACAGGGCGGACCAGAAGGGGCCTGGCCCACAGGACGGGGGAGAGAATCGTGGGCTGTTCAGAGCCTGCCTTAGATCATTTTCTGTTATCATGCTTTGTGGGTTTGGAGCCTCCCGCAGGCCCTGTGGCTGTAAGCCCAGTCTCTCGAGGGAGACGCCTTTGTTGCCAGGAAGTTGTGAGCCTGCCCGACTGGGCTCTGATAACTTCAGGAAGCCCTAAGGTCCAGCTGATAGACTCAAAGCGGATACCAGGGGCAGCCCCAGCACCAGGACAGGAGGTTGGAGTCACTGTCAGACCTGTGGCCCAGGGTGGGTGGGTGGCGGGGGGGCCTGAGGTCATCCGAGGTCATACTCACCGGGCTCATGGCGCATGCAGCACAGGATGGAGCGCACCTTCACCTTGAAATCCCGCTCTCCCTCCTGCAGGCCTTGGCTCACCAGGGCCACCACCTCATCCGGGGTGAGGTCCCCTCTGTGTGGAGAGAGGAGGAGGGATGGGCCTGAGACAAAGCATGTGCTGAAGGACAGCACTGGCCCTGGGACAGAGGAGGAGGAGGGTGGGGGAGGGGAAGAGGAGGAATCTTCCAGAAGCCTCCTCTCCCCACCACCTCTGAGAAAGACTGAGGGAGATGCCCACGCTCTAGCACACCCGCTCCCAGCTTCCTTGGGGTTGCCTGGGCACATCCAGACCTGGAGAATGTCCCCGTGGGAGAGAGGGTGCAGGTGTCCCTGCAGGAGGGGGGACAGAGGGTGCCTGTGTCAGACACGGCCCTGCCCCAGGAGAAGAGCACCGCTAAGCTCACCTGGACCGATTCCCACTTGTTACGTGCATCGGAGTCACAGCTAGGAGGGGCAAAGTGGTTGGGGGACACCACTTAGAGATCCCTGGGGTCCCAGCAGGGGACAGGAATGGGCCAGACTCACTTCCGTTCCAGGGCTAGAGCAGGACCCCTGGAAGCCACTGGATAGCAGTGTTTCTGGCTGCAGGCCTGTGTCCAGGACTAGGGGTGACAAGACACAGCCAAACGCTTTCTCCCAAGGTAAAAATGGACATGCCGGTGAGCGATGGGCACCCCGTCTCTCAGGCCAGCTAAGCCCATCTTTCTGAGGCCACAGACCAGATCACGGGGCAAGACGGAAGTCTTCTTGGGTCAGGGCCTCCCAGCAGTCTGCCCCTCGGGTCCCAGGTTGGGCCACCCTGTCACAGCCACCCTCCAGGTGGTCACTCACTCAGCCTGGTTCCAGGGGATCGGCTCCACTTTGGAGTTGGCCAGCAGGTGTGGGCTGTAGCGCACCTCCACATACACCACGCCCTCCTTGGCTTTCATCTCAACAAACTCGTAAGCGATCCTTTTGATGGCCTCCCGGCAGCCCCTGGGAGAGGAAGAGAGTACTTGGGACAACCTCCTCCGATGTCCCTTCACAGCTTGGTGACAACAAGCCTGTCCCCAACCACTGGCAGATCAAACCCACTTCCGGGCTCCAGCCCCGTAGCCTCCAGGGCCAAGCTCTGGGCCTCCCCTGGAGAGGATCCTAGACACTCAGCCAGTCCTGTCAGCTCTGGTTCCAAACTGCAGGCCACTTCTTGTCCCCTTCTCCCTGGTTCTCACTACCTCGTCTCTCTGACTGGCCTCCCTGTCTCCGTGCCTCCCGGTAACTGTTTTCCTCACGGCGGCCAGAACGGTCTTTTCCAAACCTAAATCCAAGCACGTGGCTGCTCCGCTCTGACCCCAGTGGCTCCTCCCATCGAGTGGACTGAAATCCCGACTCTCTCGCCTGGCCCGAGAGGCCTGTGTGACCCGCCCCCTGCCAACCGCCCCTCTCACACCTGAGAGCCCACCAGAGGCTCGCTGGCTCTAAGGGGCAGTGCAGCCTGTTCCCACATCCAGGCCTTTGTGTGCAGCCCCCCAAGGTCACCCCATGCTCCCTCCACCTCTGGATTTTATCATTTTACTGTATTTTAGAGAGAAGGGAAGGGAAGGAAGAGAGGGAGAGAAATATCTGTGGAAGAGAGAAACATCAATTGGTTGCCTTCTGCAAGCGACCCAAACAGGGACAGAACTTGGAACCCGCATCCCAGGCATGTGCCCTGACTGGGAATCGAACCAGAGACCTTTTGGCTTATGGGACGATGCCCAACCAACCGAGCCACATTGGCCAGGGCCCCTCTGTCACTCTCCACCCCTTCCCCTGGACTCGACCTTCCTCCACGGCTCTTACTACCCTCCAACATCCCACACCACGTGGTTTACTAGCCAATTTTCACCTCACCAACTAGAACACAGTTACCATGGGGCAAGGACCCTCCATCTGTCTTGTCACAGAACAAGGACAGCCAAGGACAGAACCTAGGACATAGCAGCCGCTCCGAATGTGTTGAGTGATGGATGTAGGCCAGCGGGGACAAGAAACAAGAGGAGCGGACACACGCAGGCCACAAGAGCAAAAGCAGACAAGCGGGACTGCACCAAACTAAAGAGATTTGTTTTTTTAAGATTTTTTATCTTTAGAGGGGAAGGGAAGGAGAGGAGGAGGAGAAACATCAAGGTATGGTTGCCTTTCGTGCGTCCCCTGCTGGGAACTGGCCTGCAGGGAATCGGCCTGCAACCCCGGCATGTGCCCTGACTGGGAATCGAACCTCGATCCAGGCCCGTGCTCAGTCCACTGAGCTACACCAGCCAGGGCTCTAAAGAGCTTTTTGCAAAGCAAAGGAAACCATCACCAGAGTGAAAAGGTAACTACAGAATGGGAGAAAATATCCGCAAATCTAAGGGGCTAATATCCAAAACATAGAAAGAACTCCCATAACTCAACAGAAAAAAAAACAAATTACCTAACTAAAAAGTAGGCAAAGGACCTGACTAGACATTTCTCCAAAGACACAGATGGCCAGCAGGCACGTGAAAAGGTGTCCAACCTCACTAATCATCAGGGAAGTACACAGCTACGGTAAGAGACTGCCTCACACCTGTTAGGGTGGCTACTGTGGAAAAGAGAAGCCACAGCATGACAGGTGTTGGCGAGAAAACCGAACCCGTGGGCACTGGTGGTGGGACTCTAATGGGCGCAGCCACTGAGGAAAGCGACACGAAGGTCCCTCAAACAGTCACACAGAGTGGCCCTGTGGCCCAGCAGTCCCACTTCTGGGTGCGCGTCCAAACGCAATGAATCCGTATCTCCAAGAGACGCCTGCAATTTCATGTTCGTTCACTATTCATAACAGCCAAGGATGGAAACAAGCCAGGGGCCCACCAACGGAGGAGTGGACGGGGAGACCTTTCCGCCGGGACCAGCGTGGCTCAGCTGGTGCAGCATCCTCCCCACCAAGCGAACAGTTACAGGTTTGATTCCCGGTCGGGGCACGTTCCTGGGTGGCAGGCCCCGACCCGGTGTTTCTCTCACACATTGATGTTTCTCTCTCTTTCTCCCTCCCTTCCCCTCATTTTATAAATGAATAAATAAAATCTTAAAACTCTCTCACATAGAGAAAGATCATGTAGCCTTAAAGAAGGAAATCCTGCCGTTTGCAACATGAACGACTTCTGGAAAACGTGACACTCAGGGAAAGAAGCTGGGCAGAGAAAGAACCGCTACGTGACCTCCTTTACGTGTGGGATCTAAAATAGCAGAGCTCGTAAAAGCAGAGAGGAGAATGCGGGTCTCGGGAGACAGGCAGGGGGTGGGGAGACGTGGGCCCAAGGGCACAAAGTTTCTGTTGTGTGAGATGAGTAAGTTCTAGAGATTTATTATCGCACAGCACGGCGGCTGCATGTAACACTGAATTGTCTCGTTGGGATGTGCTAAGAGGGGAGAGCGTAAGTGTTCTCAACCACACACGAGAAAGGTGACCGGTGTGTGAGGTGCCAAAACACCAAGTCGCACACCTCCAACGCATGCCATTGCTGTTTGTCAATCACACTCCAGAAAAACCAGAGAGAGAGGAGGGCACAGATGGGCGGGTCCAGAGGGATCTGGGATGGGATGGGAGAGATACCTGGGACTCAGACCGGAATCCTGGTCCCCACACTCACCTGCCGTGTGACCCCAGTTAATCGCCTTCTCTGACACCCACATCCGAGGGTCACGGTGAAGGTGAGTGAGTTAAACCTCATAAAACTCATGGGAGCCAGTGCTCGGAGCAGACAGACAAATGCTCCGAGTGTTTTAGCTGCTGTTCCTGAGTGTCAGCCCCAGAAGCAGGGCACAGATTAACCTGCAGGGGCTGCCGTGAGTGTCAACCGGAGGACGGGGACGGGGCCTCAGCCGGAAGTCTCCACCACGAAGGGTGAAAGAGGAACCATTACTAGAAAGCAGTGTGTGAGGGAGGCGCCGGTGGGAATCAGCTGCTCCCAGGAGGAGGCCCAGGGAGGACCTGCACCTCTGAGAACCAGGAGGAAGGTGGGCGGCTGCTGCAGGAAACCCTGGGGGACGCAGTGAGCCCTGGGTGGGGGGTGGGCCTGATGTCCCCCATGGCTGTGGCCGACACTGCCCCAGGCCCAGGGGACACAGCGAAGGAGGTGGACAAAATCCACGGCCTCCCAGAGCCTACAGTCTGGTGAGAGAGACAGGAAAGTGAGTAAAATATAAACTATGTCACAGGTCAGATGGTGAGAAGTTTTATGGACACATGTGAAGCAGGGGGAGGAGTATGGGACTGCAATTTGCAGTAGTGTGACCAGGGCCTCACTGAGAGAGTGATGTCTGAGCAGAGTTGTGAGGGAGCCGTGGGAGGCAGCCCGGGGCATCTACGGGAACAGCATTCCGGGCGGAGGGAACGGCAATCACGGAGGACCTGGGGCCAGGCTGTGCGTGGTGCCTGCCATGCCACAGGACGCCGATGTGGCCGGAGAGGGGTGAGCCTAGGGGCCAGTGGCAGGTGATGAGGGCCCTCATCTGACCCCTGTGGATGCAGGCAAGGGGGTGGAAAGTCAGAGCTCACGGCCGTGGCCCCAAGTGGCCAGGCAGCCCTGCAGGAGGTGACCTTTAGCAGCCTGGGTGGGTTTGGCCTTCGGGGAGCCAGGCCTCTTCTGTCATGGGGCCAGAGAGACAGGAGCTGCCTGCAGGTGCCATGGCAAAGATGTCTGGGCCTGCTCATTCGTTCTGGGGCGAGCGGGGGCGGGGTCTTGGGAAAGCAGCACGTGTCTCCAGGAAGGTGGCATGTGTGTGCTTACCAGAGGCAAACACTAGAACAGTCATCGCCTCCCGGGCTGAGCCCAAAAGCTTCCAGCATGAAGTCAGCCACCTGGCCACCCATCTTCCCTCCCCTGGACTCCTTGTACCTGTTCTGCTGCTTCTCCGGCCAACACCTCTACCTGCCTCACACACCTGCTTTGCTGATCCTCCAACAGCCCGTGCTCGGCCCATCCTCTGAGCCTTTCCTCAGGCCTGCCCCTCTGGACAATGTCACACCCTCTCCATCCCACGAACGGAGCCTTACTGCCTCCTCCAGGCAGCCTTCCTGACTGGCCCCAGCCCCTTTGGCTCCCCGCAACCCCCATCCTCAGCTCCCAGGGCGCCGACTGCCACGGCTGATCATTGCCTGACCTCAGAAGCTCTACCTCCTGCCAGAAAGCTCAAGGCGGGACCGAGGCGAGAAGCTGGGCTTTGCCCCCTGCCAGCTGTGGTGTCCCGGGCAAGCCCCTTCACTTCCCTGGGCCTTCATTCCCACCCCCAGAAATGAGGAGTAAGCCCACCTGGCAGGCCCGTGGACGACTATGGAAAGTATGGTTCTGTGAGCTGTGCGTCTATTAGATTCGTCTACATGTGGGTATTCTGCTATGAAAAAGTAGACGGAATGCAAAGTGACATAAGATCACCAGTGCCTGGCTGTTGGTAAAAGCAGCAGTTGTGTCCACGGTGAAAGGCGACTGGCTGAGGACAGCGCTGTGTCCGGTGCAAACTCCAGGAGCTGGATGGGAACACATGGCCCAGGGTCTAGATGGGGGCGCTGAGGCCCAGGAGGGACTCTGCCCAACATTATTCCATGGAAGAGTCGGAGACGAGGGTCTGTGTTCCTAACCCCCACATGCCGCCACTTCTCTATAGAAGCTGCAGGCATTTCAGTCTCGCACGCCCACTTTCCAGAAGAGAACATCGAGGCCCAAATGCACAGAGTCGAGCAAGTATACAAATGGTGAGAAGCAGAACTAGGGTCTCCTACCCCACAGGCTGAGGGGCAGGCCTGGGGCTGGCGGCCCCTCGTGAGCACAGTGATGGACGCTGCCCGGGGCCCAAGGGTGACTCACGCAATGGCGGGCATGTAGTAGTTGAACTTGGCCAGGAAGGCTGGGAGGCTGATCGGCTTGTCCATGCCGATGATGTTCTGCAGTTCCTCGGCAGTGTCAGCTGGGAGGGAGACCCCCCTCTGCCTGGGGACAAAACAGGAGGGTGACAGACTGCCCCAGGGAGGACTGGACGAACTCTCCCGGGGGCCACGGCAGGAAACCTGAGGACCTCGCCATCCAACTCCACCCATTGGACAGATGGGAAAACTGAGGTCCAGGGCATACAGAATCAAGAGCAGAGTTCTCCCGGCACCTCCTGTCCTCGAGGCCATAACCAGCCAGTGGATTTCAGGGGGTGAAAGCCTGTGTGTGTGCATGGATGCGCACACACACACATACATGGCTGGAGCAGGGAAGGTCCCAGGGCAACAAGCCCACAAGTTCCACCTGCACCCCAAGAGTGGGCACACGTGGTCATCTGTCAGGTCAGGGGCTACCAGGGGCAATACTACAGGGCAGGGGCAGGCCCAGCCAAGCACCGGCCCTCCCGCTTCTCTGCTCTCTGTTTTGTTTGCTCTCTATCAGTGAGGGTTGTTTGGTCCAGTGTCCTGGGAGAGGGCCGGCTGGCAGGCTGTTGACCTGAGTCCCTCCTATCCCTGCCCGCAGTCCCCTCACAGGCTGGACACGGTCACCACTCAGTAAGGCCTGCATCTCTGCTTCCACAGCCCGGCCACAGGCCCCAGCCCCCTCTGCTCACTGGGGCTCTGCCCGACTCCCGGGTCACTCTGGGCCGCAGTTTTCCCACTTTTAAGATAAAAGAGACAGAAAAGGTCACCAGACACTCTGTAAATGTTTCTACCATGTGGGACAGAACAAGAGACAAAAGGAGATCTAAGAAAACAAACAAAAAAATGCAGAAAACTCAAACCCTAAAATGAGCATCCTCAAGGAGATGAAAGGACGATACACCCTTGAAATGAGACATCGCTTTCTTAAAAAGGGGACGTTGAGAGAGGAAGAAGGAGCTGTTGGGAATCTAGAAACATGGCAGCCACCATCGGGACGAGACCAAAGGCATGGAAAACAAAGGCAAGAAAACCCTTCAGGGAGTAGAACAAACGTCAAGATGATTTAAGAGGAAAACAAAAGAGCAAGACACCTTGCTTCCCAGCAACGTCATCAGTTCGACTCAAACTCATAAAAATTCTCTGAAAACAAATAGGAGCAAACGGTGAAGAGGATTCGATGATTAAATCAGGAGGATCATTTGGGTGGTGAGCATTTCGGTACGGATGGTGTTTTATTGAGTTGTACACTTGAAACCTGTATGCGTGCAGGGGTGTCCGACCTTTTGGCCTCTCTGGGGCCGCACTAGAAGATGAAGAGTTGTCTTGGGCCACATGTTAAATACACTGTGACAACGTAATCACAAAAAAACCTCATCATGTTTTAGTAAGTTTACGATTTTGCGTTGGGCCGCATTCATGGCCATCCTTGGCTGCAAGAGGCCTGTGGGCCGTGGGCGGGACTCCCCCGCAGCTTTATTAACCAACACCACCCCAATAAATTCCATTAAAAGCATTAGGAGGCTCGAGCGTCCAGTTTCGACAAAGCAAGATGACAGGAGGAAATTGTCAAAGAAACGGAAGTTTGACCGAACAGTGTCAAAGTCCCTTAGTGGCTTCCGTTCAGATATGAAAGTGTTTTCCTACCTGAGAAGCTATTCCCTAAGCCCCCTAAATATGCCCTCCTCCCCTTTGGGTGGCCCCTCTCCCTGTGAGCGCCCAATGGGCATCACCCTGAGGTCGATTGCTCAGTGCCCACTGAGCCTTCTCCCCGCCGCTGGCCAGCCTGCCCCATACTGTATTTGGAATAACTTTCTGGGAGCCAGTGGGCTGAAGGCAGAGGAGGTGGTGCTGAGGCTCTGGCTCTCGTATTGGCAGGTTCGGTGGCCACATTGGCCCTGGACCCCACCGCCACCTGTTGGGGTGCTGCCTCCCGAACATTCTCTTCCAGATCTCCGCTCATGGATTTCCACCCAGGGTCCAGAGGTCCACAGTTCCGACTCTCTGTCTGACGCTCTGAGAGCCTTTGATGTGCCGGGCAGTGAGTGGACAGCAGCGAGTGCCTGACCACCCCTGGAAGGCGGGCGGCTCCTTTCCCCTCCCCGTCCCGGGCTCCTCCATATCTAACCAGCGAACCAGAGACGGGGGCTTTTGCCCAACTCCATCCCCCTCGTCCTCTTCCTGCCATGGAGGGCAATGTGCCTACAAGGACCCTGGCCACAGAGAGCCCCGAGAGGAGGGTGAACTCAGGTGGCGGAGCTGGAAGTCCATGCCCCTCCTGTGCGTTCCGTGCCGCACCACCCTGGGCAGGAGCTGTCCCCTCGGAGGACCTCCACATCCTCGTCCGTAAAACGTGGAGCATTTTCTTTGCACGTGCAGAGAACACAGGAGGCTATGAATGTGTCCTGGGAAAGACAGCGTGCTCTGCAGCCAGGTGGCCTGGGGTTGAATCCCAGCTCTGAGATAAAGGCTGTGTGACCTTGGGTAAGCTGCCCACCCTCTCTGGGTTTCTTAGGTCTGGGATGTTTGAGAAACGCCCAGTGTGGACTAAGCAAGGAGCAGCAGAAGAGGTTAGAGATCTCCCTCAGGCTTTGTAGAATATTAAGGGCCATGGCTTTGACCCTGAGTAAGGTGGGAGGGACTGGGGAGAGGGTCTGAGAGCTGAGGGAGTGAGCTGGCCCAACCGTGTCTTTAAAAAAATTTTTTAAATTATTGATTTATTTTTAGAAAGAAGGGAAGAGAGGGAAAAAGAGAGGGAGAGAGACATCAGTGTGTGGCTGCTTCTCATGTGTCCCCTACTGGGGACCCAATTTGCAACCCAAGGATGTGCCCTGACTGGGAATCAAACCCTTTTTTGTCAGGCCAGCATTCAGCCCACTGAGCCACACCAGCCAGGGTCAAACCATGTGTTTTAAGACAACTGCTCTGACTGCGTATTGTGGGGATGGTAGATGTGAGGCCAGAGTGGACACTTGGAGACCAGTCAGGGGGCCGCTGCAATAGTCTGAGGGAGGGACCGGTGGTGACTCAGACAGGGCGGTGACAGGGAAGAGCGCAGCCAGATGCGCCTCAGAGAAAGAGCAGATGGTGTCATGAAGGACACGAGAGTCAGGAAAAGGCCCCGGGGAGGACAGACTCACAGGAAGAAGAAAGGGGTGAAAACAGAAGCAGTGGAGGCTCCGGGGGCAGAAAAGGAGCCAGTGGGTTTGGCCCCGGCCCACCCCCACCCGGGAGTCCTCCAGGGCTGCCCTTATTGATCGGACCCACTCCCTGCTCCCCTCACCTGCTGGCCTCGAGGCCAAACTCCATCTGGCACCAGCACCCCCTGTCCAGGGCCAGGACTGTTCCCGAGACTCCCAGGCGGCGCGGGAGACAAAAGCTCCAACCAGCCACCCAACATGGGTGGCTCCTCTCCCTCCACCCAGCCCTGGCACTCTGGCCTCATTGCTGCACTAATGAGCGCTCTATGACCCTTTACTGCCTTAACAAGCACCCTGATTAGATCCCATCTCCGCCCCTGATAACCCACCCAAATGACGTCATCAGAGCCTTGTTCAGTGGCTGGCCCTCAACTTAGGCGAGGGACAGGCTAAGATAAGCCAAGAGGTTCTGCCCCATTGGCAGAGCCGTTGGTTGTGATTAATGACCCTGTCATCATTAAGTCCGTTTCCTGGACTCCCCAGCTGAGTGTCTCCCCTGTGGTGCTTCGCCTAAACCTCTAGCGGCAGGGGTGCCGGTCAAGGGCAGGGACCTGGTCACAGCCCTGCTTACTAGACAAGTCACTTCATCAATCATGACTCAGTTTCCTCTGCATCTGTAATATAGGGACAATAACAGTATCTACTTTAACAGTGGGCATGAGGAATCAGTAAGTTAACTCAGGTGTGCTGGTTTGCAGTAACTGCGAACATACTTACGTAATTAACAAATCAATAGCCGCTTCCTAGAGCAAGATCTTTGGACGCGAAACAAGACAGAGCAAAGTGGCCCTGGCTGGTAACTCACTGGTCGAGTGCCAGCCTACGAACCAAAGGGTTGCCAGTTCAATTTCCAGTTTGGGCACAAGCCTGGGTTGTGGACCAGAGGCCGCTCAAGACTGGGAATTAAACTTGCAACCCTCTAGTTTGCAGGCTGGTGCTCAGTCCACTAGGTCGCACCAGCCGAGGGAAGGCCCTATTCTTATCCTCAGCTTGCGGAGGCCAAAGGCACAATGAGAAAGCTGTGTATGAATTTAAATTGACACTGGCCTTCCTTCGCAAGTCCCTGAGCTCTAGGTGCTGCACCCAACAGAGGGGTCACACACCATGGGGGGTGTGGGGAGGGAGGCGTGGCCCTCCCTCCCTAGGGGCCCCGGGGACCCTCCGGCCCACCCGCATGCACACGAGCTGAGGCAGGAGGCACGTCTCACTTGGAAGGTGCGGCGTTGTGACCACAGAGGGAGCCCCTTCACGGCTCTCAGTAGCTCATCTCCATGGTGAGGTAGGAAAAGCTGTGGCAGTCAGCCTGCCTGTCAACTTTTGACTCTGCCATTTACTTGCTGTGTGGCCTTGGGCAACTGCCTTCACCTCTCTGAACCTGCTCTCTCCCCAGTGAGATGCGGATAGCAACACCCCCTCCCATGTGTGTGTGTCACCTGCCGCCAGTTCTCTGCCAGAAAACAGTGACTGGCTCAGCCCTGGGAACTGCTTCCACTTGTACTGTGTGTGTGTGTGTGTCCACATGCAAGGTAAGGCACAGTCCCCTCAGCTCACCTGGGAGCGGAAAGACAAGAGTCAAAGGCACCCAAGGCGGAGGGCACGGGCTGTGGGTCCCCAGCTCGGAGAGCCGCTCCTCTGGCCGGGGCTGGCGGGATCGCACAGGGGGAAGGGAAGGAGCAGCAGGCCTGGGGTTCTCTCGGGTCCTCACACTGGGGACCCTGCCCAGGTCTGGGGAGGGAAGCCTCTTATCTGTGGACGTACCTTCCATAGTATAAGATGGTTTCGGGCTTGATGGATCCATCGAGGTGGACGTGTAGTTCTACCTGGAAGGGGCGAAGGGAAGCAAGAGAGAACGCACACCGTGAGTACCTGACGGGCTCTTCAGAGAGTCAGTGTTAACATGAACCGCGATAGCCCTGAGGTACTGCCTGCCAGACATCACGTACGCGTCACCAAACTCTACACACCTGATCTCATTTAATCCCCACCTGTGTGGTGGGTTTGTTTCTCTGTCTCATTCACAGCAAGAATACTGAGGTTCAGAGAGGTTTGAGAACTGGTCCAAGGCCACACAGCAAGCCAGTGCCTTTGGATTTAAGCACAGCCGACAAGTGACAGAACCAGAATTCTAACTCAAGCCCAGTTCCGAAGCTGGTGCTTCAACACACGAGGCCTGCCACAGTCCCCTCGGAGCTCCAGAGCCCCAGCCGCCGCCCAGGCGAGTCCTGTTCTCGGACAACTTGCTAAACAAATTCCTGCTTTGACAACAAGGGTGGACCACAGACTTCCTGTACTAGTGAATCACATGGCATATCTCAAAAATCAGACACCATTTTCACTTTTTAAAATCTTAACCCGAGGACAGTTTTTTTCACTGCTTTTAGAGAAAAAGGAAGAGAGGGAGGGAGAGAAACATCAATTGGTTGCCTTTCTGTATGTGTAGTCCCACCGGGGATCGAACCATCCACCTCTCGGTATGTGGCACAACCCTCCAACCCATGGAGCCACGCTGGCCAGGCTCCACTTTCAAAAGCAGGTGTTACTTAAACATGGCTTCTCGGGAATTAATATTAAAGCAACACAAGATCTTTCCACGACTCAAGAAAGGACACCAGATACTCCGCCATCTGGGTGATCGTCTCCTACGCGCCCGGCCCCACGAACAAAACCCAGCCCCACGGACAGCGCTCTGCACACAAAGCCACCAGTTTACGTACAGGGTCTTGGGAGACGCCCGCCAGGCCCGACTCCCAGCCTTGCCTCTTCCTCTGGCTGCACGACTGGGACACGACACTCGAGCTCTGGGCCTCAGTTTCGACGGGAAAACAACGGGCTCCGCCTGCCTCCCTGACAATTGTCAGGATTCCAAACCCAGTGCAGGTGGGTGCGCACGGCCCACGGGGAACGGCCTCCTCCCCTCAGTGTTTTCCACGTGCTGCCGAGAAAAGCGCAGCAGGTGCTGGAAGACAGCGGGGAAGTGCCTCCGTCCTCTGCCTGTCCCAGGTCACAAAGGACACGTTCCTGGGCCAGGGGGAGAGCTACACAGCCCTCACTGCCATGCCCAGCAGCGTGGGGCGGTCCCTGGAACTTAGGGATGTGGACGAGAAGGCGGCTGCCTCGGCTGCAGAGGAGACTCAGCATGTCCTAGAACACCCGCATGGGCGCCTCCCTTGGAGGAAACCCGGCCCTGGGCCCGGGGGCGGGGGGGGGGGGGGGGGGGGGCCGGCAGGGACAGAGCTACCAAGCCTGTCTATCAGCAGGACATCTGAGCCATCAGATCTCTCCAGCAGCCGTCCAGCTGGCACGGGACCAAGCGGCGCTCACATGTAAGCTCGGCGTCAACCAAGCTGCTGGATTCCCTGACCAAATGAATTCGATGCCCACTCAGCCAAAGGTTTACTGGGTGCCCCTCAAAATGCTCAGCATCGAGAACAACGATGTTTCTAGTCCAGGGACCTGCCAACCAGGGGTGTGGCCTTGCACAGGGGACCTCATTTCCTTGAGCCTCTGTTTTCTTATCCTTAACCCTCCCCGTGGCCGGGGTGAGGATTCAGCTGGAGAGGCAGGGCGGCCTTCTCGTTTGCCGCACAGCCCCTCTGCTCGCTCCCTGGCGTCTCCGTCCGTCCGGCAGGGAAGACGGCGCCTGCCTCCTGGGCTTCGGAGGGTTGACCACGTGACCGTGCACAGTGTGCTCAGCACAGAGTCAGCGTGAAATAACCATCAGTGAAGAGTCCTTCCTGCACCAGACTGCCACGCCCTGCTGGGGATGGAGAGGTGAGCTAAAGGGACAGGGGCCTGCTCCTGGGACACACATGGTCCAGCAAGGGAGAGACACGAAGGGCCCCACCGATAAATGCAGAGTCGAGGCCATGAGTGCTCCCTGGGAAGCACCGACGTGGTCCTGGGAAAAGCGGACAAAACAGAGCCTCGCCCAGCAGCAGGCCGACAAGGGCTTCCCAGAAAAAGCAGGTCTTGACCCAAGACCTGACAGATGAAGAACCACGTGAGGAGGAGGATGGGAAGAACATTCCAGGCCCAAAGAAAGGCCGTGTGGTGAGAGAGAGCGTGGTGCACGAGAGGAAGCAGCGCACGGTGCAAAGGCCGGGGCGGGGGTGTCTGTGGGACTGGAGAGGCCGCAGGGCCACTGGGCCACAGGAAGAGGTGGCTTTAACCTGAGAGCACAGAGAAGCCGCCGCAGAGCTTGAAGCTGGCTGGAGGGGGAGGAGAACCCGTAGCAGGACCAGTTAGAGGTGACTGCAGTCGAGTGTATGAGAGGTGATGCCTTGAACCAGGGAGACGAGGTGCATGTGGGAAAGCAGGTGGGCAGCGGGAGGTATCAAGGGTAATGCTCCAGGTTGGGCCCCGGTGGGTAGTGAGTCCCACGCTCTGAGGCAGAGAGCCCGGGAAGAAGGCCAAGTGCGAAGGGGGTGAGGTGGGGCGGGAGCGCGGGGAGACAGGCGCGATCCGTTCGGTCTTTGTTATATTAAACCGGGAAATCTTTGAGATTTCTAAGTATAAATGGACAGAGCCCGTGGATATGAGGGCCTGGAGTCCTCAGAGATGGAGGCTGGAGATGTGAGAAGGAACAGACGTCACCAGAGCTGCGGTCTTGAGTGAGGTCCCCCAGGGGGAGGGCGTGGAGGACAGGGCCCAGGTGAAACCTTGACAAGCAGCGGCGCCCGGGGGCTTCACAGAAGAGGTGGGCTTGCAGAAGAGCCCCAGAGAAGGGAGGGGCATGGGGATGTGTGGTGTTCGGAAGGCAAGGGGCGATCGGAATTCAGGGAGGAGGGGTGGGCCCCCTGGTTGGAGTAGAGGGCTGAATGGTAGCCCCACAAAACATGTCTATGTCCTAACCCCCAGGACCTGTGTCACCTCAGATGGCAAGGTGTGATTATTAAAAGCCTTGAAAGAAGGGGCTTATCCTGGACTCTCTGGACAGCCCCTGCTCCGGTCGCCTGTCTCCTTATGACAAAGTGTTTTGAGAAACACCCAAGAGGGAGCAGCCACATGAGCACAGAGGCAGATGGGAGTGATGGGGCCACTGGAAGCTGGAAGAGAGCGAGGAGTGGGTTCTCCCGCCCCTGGAGCCCTCAGAGGGGGTACAGCACTGCCGAGACATTGACTTTGGACTCCTGGCCTCGGGGACAGTGAGAAAATGAATTTCTGCTGTTTCAAGTTACCCAGCGTATGGTATTTGTTACAGCAGCCACAGGAAACTAGTACGGCTGCATCCTGCCAGAGGCCAAGGAGTAGGAGAGCAGAAGCATGTCCCTGGGACCCAGAACGCAGGACACAGACCCCCAGGAGGAGGGGTTCTCAACCCTGGCTGCCCACTGGGAGCACCCAGGAAGCTCTGGAAAGTGCCGGATGCCTGGGCCCACCCACCCACAGCAATTAAATCACAATCCCTGCAGTGAGCCTGGGTGCAGGTTTTGTTGTTTGTTGTTTTATTTAGTTTTTTTTAAAGAACCGCTGCACTAAAGGAACCATTCCAGAGGCCTGAGTGAGCCGGCTCCACACCGGGGTAGGGAAAGAGAGAAGCAGGGGTAAGAAAATGGAGGACATTTAGGTGGATGTGGGTCAGCAGCCCTGTGTTTATTTTTCAGGTGGGAATGACGTGAGCGTGTTTAAGTGACGGTGGAGGAGACTGAAGTGGAGAGGAAGGAGTAGCGTGAGGTTCGAGGAGGTAGGAGAGGTTAGAAGTCGAAAAGCAGACTGTGACGGACATGTAATGTGAGCAGAATGACGGACACCTCAGCTGCTTCAGACCCCCTAGACCTGGGGACGTTGGTCACTACTATAGTCTGCCCCGCCCGAAAGCACGCACAGCTTTCTGAACCCATCGTTACTGATTGTGTGCAAGAAAAAGGAAAACAGCCAGGAAGTGGGGGTGGGACTCAGAAAGCACCCAGAAATGATCGCTCTGGGGGAGGGGACAAATAGAGGGGACGCCGCACGTGGTGGGGGGTGGCGGGGGAAGGACAGCAGAGAACCATTCCAGACAGAGGGAACTGCAGGTGCTAAGTGTCCAAATCAGAACGCAGTCAGGAAATTGGTTCAAGTGCAGAGAATGAGGTTGGTGGTGAGAGACGAAGCCAGAAAGTCAAGGGATGGAAGCCAGGGAGACATTGCAGGTCACAGTTAAGGGGATCCACTGAAGAGTTGTAAAGAGGGGAGTGGCCTTTTAAAAGCTGTTTCTGCTGCTGCGTGGTGAGCCGGTTGGCAGGAGGCGGAAGAGAGGGCAGGTGCAGGAGACCAGATGGGAGATGACCAATACCTGGAACTCCTCCGGCACCGTACACGGTAGTGCTCGGTAAGCGTGAGGTACCCCCGGTGCAGCCGTGCGTGGCAGAGACACAGGCAGGAAGCAGGAGTGCCCCAGGGAGAGAGAAGACGGAGCTGGCCTGCCCACCGTGCCCCACGGATTCTACCCTGCTTGGGGCTTCTGGGAAGCTGCCCAGACATGGTTCGGGGGAGAAGCAGAGGCAGGAGCCACTTCCACAAGCAGCCCAAGCTGCTCCCATTGGACTTCCTGGGAAACTGCGATTACCCACGGAGAAGCATCGGCCCACCCCAGATGACACGGGGTGCAAGCTCAGAGGCTGCGGCGGGGGCCCTGACCCACTGACCCCATTCAGGGAAAAGCAGCAGCAGTGACTACCGGGTGCGAAACCACGCTCATGCCTTATCTTAGTTCATTCTTATAACCGGGAAAGTTGGGACTCCACTCCCATTTTCCAGATGGGGAAACTGAGGTACAAAGCAGTATCTAAGGACCCAGGGTCAGTCAGTGATGGAGTCAGGATCTGAACGCTGGTCTGCATCTTGAACTCCTACAGGCCTGGCCTCGGATATAAATAATACAGCAACAGTAACGGCAGCTGCCTGTCATCAGGCCCTTTACCTCACTTCTCCTTAACCCCTCGGCAGAGGTACTCGGCAGCCCTGCCTGGACTGGCCAAGCTACATCAGAGAAAGTCAGCGAACTGCCCAGGGTTACATGGACCTACAGTGGCAGGGCTGGTTGGAACCCAAGTCTTTCCAACCCTAAGCCCAAGCGTTGCCCAGGGCCCAGCATCTACCCACGCACGCATCCCACCCCAGGCCTCTGGGAGAGGAGCCTCATGCCCCCTCCTCTGCCCCTGCTCTCCGTGAGGCTGACTCACAATCAGAGCTGCAGGAGATCCTCCCAGGCTTGCCAGGAAGCTTTCCAGTTACCAACAGTATTGATTAATGGGCACCCTGGGGCACAGGGCAACACTCTGAGTCCTGGCCCTCAGGTGATGCCAGCCAGACAAGTGAGGACCAGGGAGGTGCATTCACTTGCCCAGGGACACCCAAGGTGGCCGTAGCAGAGCCAGGACGAGGACCCAAGTGTTGGATTTCTGCACAGGACACTCCAAGATCTGACTCCCCGCTTACAGCTGCCGAAGGGTCGGGGGCTGTCCTCCCCCTGTGCCTGCCCCAATCAGACCACTTCTCAGGGCTCCTCAGGGCCCACAAATACATCACTGTTTCATTTCCATCCCACCAGTTTTTAAATTCTCTTACCATGTGTATCCCCCCCCCCCCCACTGTGAGTTCACTGGAAGCAGGGACTTTGCGTCCTCAGGCTGCACCCTCAGGGCCTAGTGCCTGGCACAGTGAGAAGGGCGTGGGAGGTGCTGAGTGACCGAGTGATGGCACCCCCTTCCCCTGTCCTAGGTCAGCAGTGCTGTGTCCTCTCCCTCCTCGAGGAGGGGCTCACCTACCCCCTATGGCCTGGCGGAGAATCCAGGCAGGTCAAAGCAGTGAGTGTTGCCCAGCCAGTCCCAGAATCTGGGCGCTGCAGTTAGAACCTGGATGAGCCACGGTGCCCACAGGGTTGGGGGGGAGGGGGCTGCCATCCTCTCCCTTCCTAGCTCTGCTCCTGGCAACGAGCTGGGCAGTGCCAGGGGCCAGTGCCACCACGGCCTCTCAGCTGACTTGTAGGGTAAGAGGAGGAGACAGAGCAGCCCTGGGGCTGACAAATTGTTTCAGCCACACCTCTTCCAGGAAGGCCTCTGTGCTCTGCCCCAGCTGGGCTCCTGCAGCTGTGAGGTACAGAAGGGAAGGGGCGGAGCTGTCCCGCAGTGCTTCCTGCCGACCTGGAGCCTGACTTAGCTCTCTGTTGCTGCTGTGGGCTTCCCTAGAGGTTTCAC